AGAAGCACAACAAAGGACTCTTCTTCTGGATGATCATTGACCTCATCAATAATACAGGCACCAGGCTAAAAAATTAGAACCAAAAAGTCATGCAAATTTTCCTTAAAGGGCTTGGTCAGCAATACAAAATAAACCAATAATGGCCAAAGAGTGATTTTTTGTCATTATTATGTGCCTTCCAAAGCACAGAAAGTTTGGAAACCCAACTGTTCACCATATCTGTTCACCTCTGAGTGTGACAGATCACAACTATGCTTTCAAATCATTCCAGACAATGAATATAACCCACACAATTAAAGGTACAAAAGCAAAAAACACTTTTACTAACAGATCATAAACCAGAACAGAGGACAAAAAGGAGTTTGTAGGTTGGTGAATTAGAACCTAAAACAGCTCTTCAGAGGATAATGTGAGAACAATGATAGAAGCACAAAAAATGACTCCTCTTCTAAGGGACCACTGACCTCATCAATATTAGAGGCACCAGGCTGCAAACTGGAACCACAAAGTTATGCAAACTTTCTTTCATTGCCTTGCTCAGTAGTATAAAATAAGCCATTATTGGACAAAGAGTGATTTTTCTGACATTATTACAGTATATGCTTTTCAAAGCACAGAAAATTTGGGGGACCCCACCATATCTGTTCATCTCGCCATGATGATAGATCACAACTTTTGTATCAAACCATCCAGAGAGTGAAATTAAAAAAAAATAAAGCAATGGAAGAAAAAACATCTTTACTAAAGATCATAAAACAGAACAGAGGGCAGTAAGCAATTTGCAGGCTGGTGAATGAGAAAGTAAAACAATTCATAAAAACTTAATGTGAGACCCACAATGTCCCTGAAAGTGGTAGTACTCCTTAGCTTAGGATGGGTGCTCTGGACAAACCCTGGGTCAGATGCATTCTCTAGTCAGAAAGGAAGGAAGATCCTGTCAAGAGCTTGAAGTAATTCTAATTTTATCAAGCACAAGTGAGAACACAGAATACATTTCCCCTGAACACACAGGGTCTGTGACTGATGCACGCTCTTCAGGTGAGCCAGGTGGTAGAGATGAAATCTCTTCAGCCACAAATGCTCACTGTGACATCAATCGGGTAGTAGGTCTGGGCATGTTAGCAAGTACAAATGCAGCTCCTTAAAGCTTCACTTGTACCTGAAACTGATGAGGAATATATCAGAGTACATGTTCCATTAAAAGGGGTTTAAATTCAGAAAAACAGGTCCCAAAAAGTCGCCTTCAGTGTTCTTATACTAAGTGAGAAAAATAAAACATTTCCTGCACATTTAACACTTCTCTCCAGGGTGATCTCTCAGGTGTCTAATAATGCTAGATTTGTGGCTAAAAGACTTCTGAAATTCAGTACACTCAATATGGCTTCTCTCCAATGTGAACTCTGAGGTGTACAGTGAGGTGAGACCATACATGAAAGGACATCCCACATTCTCTACACTTATAGGGCTTTTCTCCAGTGTGAACTCTCTGGTGTAGTTTGAGGTTATACTTATTACTGTAGGATTTTCCACAATCACAGCTCTCATATTGCTTGCCACCACTGTGAACTGTCAGGTGCCTAGTAAGGCTGGATTTTTGGCTAAAAGACTTCCCACATTCAGTACATCCATATGGCTTCTCTCCAGTGTGAACCCTGAGGTGTGCAGTGAGGTGAGACCTTAGACGAAAGGTCATCCCACATTCTTTACACTTACAGGGCTTTTCTCCAGTGTGAATGCTCTGGTGTTCTTTGAAGGTAGAGTTATGACTGAACGACTTTCTACAATCATAGCACTCATATGGCTTGTTGCCACTGTGAGCTCTCAGGTGTCTATTAAGGTTAGATTTCAGGCTAAAAGACTTCCCACATTCAGTACATCCATATGGCTTCTCTCCAGTGTGAACCCTGAGGTGTGCAGTGAGGTGAGACCTTAGACGAAAGGTCATCCCACATTCTTTACACTTACAGGGCTTTTCTCCAGTGTGAATGCTCTGGTGTTCTTTGTCTCCAGTGTGAACTCTCCGGTGTTGTTTGAGGTAAGACTTAGCACTGAAGGATTTTCCGCAATCACAGCACTCATATTGCTTGTCGCCACTGTGAACTCTCAGGTGCCTAAAAAGGCTGGATTTTTGGCTAAAAGACCTCCCACATTCAGTACACTCATATGGCTTCTCTCCAGTGTGAACTCGGAGGTGTACAGTGAACTTAGACCTTTCACGAAAGGACATCCCACATTCTATACACTTATAGGGCTTTTCTCCAGTGTGAACTCTCTTATGTCGCATGAGGTCAAAGATTTGTCTAAAAACTTTCCTACATTTGTGACACTCATAAATCAGTTCTCCAGAACAGTCACCGTGACATTGAGCAACTTTCAGGTTGTGGCTGGCAGCATCTTTACATTCATCCCAATGGTGATGACTTTTTCCATCAAGAAATTCCTGTGAAATCTCACTGCCATAGGGGAGCTCCTCAGTGCTGAGAGTGGCCTGCTGCTTGGGAAGCTCTGAGTTGTATTGCAAGACTTCCCCAACCTCCCTGCTGGTTGAAGGCACCGAATATAAGTAGAAGCTGGACCTGCTCACAAAGGAAGCCCTGTCCATAGCTTCTTTCCAGGGCTCGTCTCCACATTCATTCCTCTGTTGCTCGTGAGAGTTTGCACTGAAACAGAAGTCTCCAACACGTGCATCACTACAGAAGGATTTCTGCTCAAAATATGCTGCATGTGAACCAGTCAGTTGCAAAATACCTTTTAACACAGAAAAACACCGCTTACACAGAGGGATCTTCTGGGTGACTGGAGCTGTCTTAGAAGTCCTGACCTGCGACTCTCCATGTATAGATATAGAACAGCCCTCATCACTATTGATTTTATGCCAACAAACTGAAAAGTGAGAAAGGGTAAGGAAATGAATGTTGAATGTGGTGACAGGGGGAAGCCCCATTACAAAAGTGTGTCACACATCACACATTGGTTCCATGCAATTGTGTGAAAATAAGAGATGTGCAGGAAGGATTAATAAGAGGCTCTTGTCACTTTCTGGGCTAATAAAGATCACAACACAGGGAAGCCTCACCAGAAATATATGACACAAACATGGCAAGCACCACATGGATTTGAATATGGATTTCCAGCTAATACTTCAACTAACCACATTCAGCATGGATTGTCTGCTGGGGACAGGGGCAAGCTGTGCAAGAGATTGGTTAGGTCTTACTACAAGTAAAATTCAATAAAGGAGTAGCTGATTTCGAGGACTAATTAGCACGTACGTGCACCTCATAACACACGTGCAAGTCAATGTTGCAGAATACTGCAGAGGCACCAGTGTAGAGGAACAGGTAACAAAGAAGTGAGCAGTCAGCACTGGCCCAGAGCAACACAGCTTGCTACAGTATTCAGGGAAGAGAATATAAAAAACAATTGATGGAAGGTCTCACAAGAACAGCCTCTCTTTCATGTAAGTAAAGACCATAACATGGAACAGTTCACCACAAAGAACCTTTATCTAGAGAAAGATGGCAGAAGTTGAAGCCATGCATGTGGATACTGTCAGCCTCCCATGAAGAGAAAGTGCAAGCTGGGACCCATGAAGCTCACTGCAAGACTCCTGACTTTGTTTCCTGTACATTTTGAGGTAACAGGTGTTAGTGGGATGTTCGTGGAATCTTTTGCTCAGGATTCTTCATGCAGCTCATCCCTGGCAGCCACAGCACATTTGACAAGA